AGGTTGAGCGCAAACGATGCTAATATAAAGTGTAGAAAGAAGCTACTAAAGATAAACCCACCTGGAAGAGAACCATTTAGGGTGTTCGGGGACAAGTGTCGAGTAAATTCTGGAATCATCTCTATGATCAAAGCTAGGATATCATATTTGGTATTCGTGATTGATGCAAAGAAGGAGAAAAAGGAGATGCAGAGAATACCAGTGGTGTGTGACTTTCCTGAAGATCTTCTTGAATTTCCCCCTGGTAGACAAGTAGCATTTTGAATCGACTTGTTTCCAGGATCCTCTGGAGTTGAAGGATATTATGATGCAACCTCATAAGTTCTTGGGAAAAGTTTTCATTAGACATATTTCTTCATACTGGGGAGCTCTGGTGCTATTCATGAAGAGGAAGAATGGAATCATGAGAATGTCGATCAACTACAAAGTGTTGAATAAAGCAACAATGAAGAATAAATATTCACTGCCTAGGATTGATGACCTATTTAAGCAACTATAAGGCACAAGCTATTTTTCAAAAATTGATCTCAGTTCAGGGTATCATCAACTAAAGGTGAGAGAACAATACATTGAGAAGACAATTTTCAGAACGATTTATGGATACTACGAGTTTTTGGTTTTGTCATTTGGGATGACCAATGCTCCAACAACATTTATGGATCTAACAAATCAGGTTTGTAAACCTTTCCTCAATAGATATGTAGTAGTGCTCATTGAAGCTATACTGATATACTCGAAGATCGAGCAGGATTATTGCAAGTACTTACGTGAAGTATTGGAAGTTCTGAAGAAGGGAAAGCTATATGCAAAGTTCTCCAAATGTGATTTTTGGATCCATGAGGTATAGTTCTTGGGTCATGTGGTTAACCAAGAAGGCATAATTATTGACCCAACCAAGATTAACACAATAACGAAATGGGAGAGACCAAAAAGTCCCATTGAGATTTGTAGTTGTCTGGTTCTGGTTGGATATTACTAAAGGTTTATCCAAGGATATTCTTCAGTAGTTGTCTATTGATACCCTTGACCCACAAAGGGGATACCTACACATAGAGTGAGAAGCATGAAGAAGCTTTCGAGAAATTGAAGAAGAGATTATGTGAAGAACTGAATCTTGCTTTACCCAATGGAGTTGAAGACTTCATAGTTTATAATGATGCATCTCGTGTTGGGTTAGGTTGTGTTCTAACCTAATGAGATAAATTAATAGCATATGTATCCCAACACCTGAAAATCCATGAACAATGAACCCCACCCATGATATGGAGTTAGCAGTAATGGTTTTTGCTCTAAAGATATGGATACATTATATTTACGACAAAAAATCTAAACTTTTCACCGATAATAAGAGTATTTAGTATCTCTTTTATAAAAAAGAGTTTAACATGAGACAACGAATTTGGCTAGAACTACTCAAGTAGTATAAATGTGAGATACTTTACCACCCTGGTAAAGTGAATGTATTAGCTAATGCTTTAAGTAGAAAAATCAACCTAGAAAGGAAAAGGCCAAGAGTGTTAAGAATTGAAATTATCTCGACTACTATGGATAGTATTAAGATAGCTCAAAATGAAGCTTTGGAAGGAGATAACCAGAAGGAAGAACGTATGTGAAAGATGTTAGTGTTCGAAACAAACAACCAAGGGTTGAAGGTATTGCAAAAAAGAATTTGGGAGCCAAAGACGGGATGAATGAGGGATCTTCTCATGGAAGAGTCTTTAAAGACGATGAACTCAGTTCATCCATGCAACACCAAGATGCATATGGATTTGAAACCATATTAATGGTGGCCAATGGAGAAGCTTGATGTCGTTACGTATGTGGCTGAGTATTTAACCTATACAAGATTAAAAGTGAAACATCAAAAACCATATGGGAATTTGGAACCTTTACTGGTACCCATGGGTAAATGAGTATAGCCTACCATCCACAGGTTGATGGTTAAAGTGAGAGAACGATTCAAATACTGGCAAATATGTTAAGATTGTACTTTAAAATTCATGGGTAACAGGGATAAGCATCTGCTAGTGGTCAAATTTTCCTACAACAACAGTTACCATTAATGCATTGAGATGGCACATTATCATGCCTTGTATGGACAGAAGTGTCATACGCCATCTTGTTGGATTGAAGCCAGAGATAAGCATTTTATGGGGCCTAAGATTGTCCATCAGACCGCGAAGAAATTAAAAGTGGTCAAAGAAAGGATGTTAGCAGCTTAGAGCCATCAAAAGTGCTACGTAGATATGAAGATACAACTAATTATTTTTGAAATAATGGATAAAGTGTTGGTCAAAATCTCTCCATGGAAGGGAGTTAATAGATTTGGAAATCATGGGAAGTTGAGTCCAAGGTTCATTAGACCGTTCTAAGAGCTTTAGAGAATTAGGAACCAATCTTACAAGCTAAAGCTACGAGCTGAACTGGAAGATATTCATAACATATTTCATGTTTGTTACTTGAGGAAGTTAATGGGAGAAGTTACCGATATGATCCCACTTTCAGAGTCAAATCAATGATAAAAAGAGGTTGATTGAAGAGCCTGAATCAATTGTTCACCATAAGACAAAGAAGTTATAACATAAGATGGTGGAATTAGTGTTTGTGTGATCTAAACATACGTTGGGGCTGAACCTCACCATAAGACCGCATGTACCTTCTGCTAGATAGTCTTGACAGATCAGAGAAACTCTTAACTCATATGAGAAGAGTAAAGTAGCTCTAGACCGAGTAGTATAAATTAGCTTGATTTGGAAGAAGCGATAGATATAGATCGAATCATTAAGGCCTACTCAAGATCGTAGAGGCTTAAGACAACATGCAACAGCATGCTTCTAGGGACCCTTAACTAGTTCATTGTGAAATTGAATCATACCTGCCTTAGATCCATAGTCGGTTAGACTTGTATTCATATTACCTAAGAAAAATAAAGAGATGCACCAAACAAACCAAACACACATTCGAGACAGATAAAACTTAGAGAAGGTTTTGAATTTTTCTGGAAAAATAATACTAAAAACAGAAATATAAAATGTTTTTGTATTTTTGAAATTTTCGGAAAAGAAAAAAAAGCAGAAAGATAATTTTTTTTTTTTTGAAATTTTCGGAAAAGAGAGGAACAAAACAAAAGTGTACAACCATAAACAACGCCTTTTTGAGATAAGCGAAAACAAGTTTAATGGGACCGAACCCGAAATAGACCGAGCGTTCGGTTCATTTCGGTTCCTGTGTGAACCACGCCCGAAATAGACCGAGCGTTCGGTTCATTTCACTTTCAACTTTTAGTTTTGAAAAGGTGTTTTTGGTACTGACTCTGATTCTATCATACCTAGGCCTTGCAGGATCTTATTGAAACTTGCTTCAGGAAGGGTTTTGGCGAAGATGTCAGCCAGTTGATCAGTGGTTCGAACAAAGTGTATTTCGACGTTTCCATCTTCCACATGATCCTTAATAAATTGATACCTTAGTGCTATATGCTTGGTCTTGGAGTGTTGCAATGGGTTATGACAGATCCTAATTGCACTTTCTAAGTCACAGTATAGTGGGATCTTTTTCATATTGAGTCCATAGTCCCGCAGTTGGCTTTGGATCCAAATCACTTGTGATGTGCAGGAGGCGGCTGCAATGTACTGTACTTCGGCTGTAGATAGAGAAACACAAGTTTGTTTCTTCGATTGCCAGCTAACTAACTTTCCGTCTAGGAATTAGCAGCCTCCTGTGGTGCTTTTTCGGTCTAGACCGCATCCGCCTAAGTCGGCATCTGAGTAGGCTTGGACAAAGAAGCCTGAATTTGAGGGATACCAGAGATCGAGAGAGGTGGTTCGCTTCAAATAACAGAAAATATTCTTCACTGCCAGCATGTGTTGTTCACGAGGATTTGCTTGAAACCTGGCACAATAACATACTGAAAACATTATATCGGGCCTGCTAGCTGTGAGGTACATTAGAGAACCAATCATTTGGCGATATAGCATGATGTCGACTGCCGGTTTTTCCAAAGATGGTTTGAGTTTGGTGCCGAACGCCATAGGGACTTTGACCTTTGAATCTTCCATCATGCCGAATTTGGCAAGGAGAGTGTTTGTGTATGCTTCCTGGTTGATAAAGATGCCTTCGGGTCCCTGCCTAATATTTAAGCCAAGGAAAAAGTTAATCGGACCCATTGAGCTCATTTTAAATTTAGTCTCCTTCAACTTCCTGAATTCAGCTGTTAGGCTGGGATTCGTAGAGCCGAAGATGATATCGTCGACATAGATTTACTACTAGAAAAACCGCCTTTTACGACGCTCATTGCGCGTCGTAAAGGGCTCAGACGACGCGCAAATGCGTGTCAAGGAAGGCCTTGTCATAAAGAGAGGCGACGCACTTTTGCGCGTCATCTATAAACGACGCGCATTTACGACGCTCATTTACGACGCACAATTACGACGCGCGTTTACGACACGCAATGCGTATCAACAAAGGCCCTGTCATAAAGGAAGACGACATGCATTCGTGTGTCCTAACCTTACGACGGACGTGTTAATGACACGCGATGCGTATCAAGAAAGACCCTGTCAAGTAAGGCCATGTCATAAATGAAGATGACACACATTTTTGCGTATCATAATTTTAAATGTTTAAAAAAAATTATTTATAGATTTACTAATTTTCAAATTAAATTTCCATTTAATGTCTCATAATAGAAAATAAAATACCATATACAAAAATATAATACATTGCACTTGTTAATGTCATACAAATAATCATTCCAATAGTAGACAAATGGATAAATCTCAAAGGGATCAAAAATATGTTTGTCTTCTAATAGATCTTATACAAAAGAAAGAAGGTGTTTGAATTCAGAAAATGTCTCAGCAACTAAATTGGCCCTGGAAGCTTGTGGTTTGACTGCAACTGAGATAAGGATACCATGTTTACTCTTCTTAAGCTTACTAAACAAACTTGACAATAAGATAATATAAAACTGAATTATTATTAAGATTAAGCCACAGATGCACTCAAGCTATACATACCAATGGTGATGGTCTTTCATCAGCTAAACGTGGAAACCCACTACCATAAACAGAAGTATCATAAAACTGCTTTATTCAAAAAACTCATATTACTATTGTAATCATAATGAAACACACCGATAATGTATAGTTTTATACAAGAAGTGTTCCAGATCATTATTTTAGTAATAATGAATAAGAGAGGATACATTACTTACTTTATACTGGAATAACTCATCGAGATCTTTTCTTAAGTTGTGATACAGTTCAGCCAATGAAGGTTCCATGAAGAACTCCAAGTATCCTCCCAACATTTTCATGAAATGGGATGGAATAAAAAAGGAATGGAGTAAGAAAAGGTAATAGACTCACTATATTGCCTTTTGAGATGCTTCCACCAAACAGCAGCAGGACGAAATCGGAAACAACAGTTGTATCCAGGAGAAAAACAGAGTTCACTTTGATCTTCTCATTAAAGACCAACCACGGGAATGGAATTCTCAAAGCCCAGGAATTAACCGAGTTCTATAGCATTAAAAAAACAAATTCAGATTAAAAAAACTATAAGAATTTAGAAAAACGAACTTACCGAGTGTAAAAGCACCTGACCATCCGCCACGGTTTTCAGCGAGAATGACTTTTCATTATCCTGATGTCAACAAAAGCGGGTTATTATTTGTAAAGAAATTGTTTAAAAACAAAAGGGAGAATGACTTTTCCTTCTAAGAACTTATGTCATCCCACCTAATCATAAATACCAAAACTACCCCTTGCTTTTCACTCCCACATATACTCAATAGTAGAAACTCAATGAGATTGAATCCTGTGAATTCATGCAATCAGGATTCCAGCATGACATTTAGAGCATCAGTAACTCTATCCTTCTTCTCACCAACTTCAGCTTCACTCGCTCCTCCAATTTGACCAATCACAACAACACATCATTTACATAACAAAATTATTTAGAAATAAAACAAAAATAAGAATCGTACCTTCAAAACAGCAACACCACCAGAAAGTTTTGCTAATCTCTCTTGGAGCTTCTCCTTATCATAATCAAAATTGCTTTAAACACCATGTAGCTCCATTTGGAACATTTTTTTGCTTTTAACTTGCTCTTAGATTGTATGCATGTTACATTTCAGAATAGTTGATGTTATCAATCCAGGCATATGCTCTTACTGCAAAAGGGATTCCGATGGTTTGTACAAATACGAATGGAGAAAACATAACCTCTGCAGTACTTAAAACACAGGGAAGTGGATCACTCAAAGATAACATCATTACAGTATTTGGCATGAGCACTTTCAACTGCTTAGAACCTATGAGTCTAGTTATATCAGATTCCTGCAAGGTGGATGGGTTTCTTTCTAAGTCGGGAAATGGCTGTGGACGAAATATAGGTGACAGACAGTATTTTTTTTTATAAATGGTCGACCTGTTGACATGCCACAAGTCACCAAGCTTCTGAATGAATTGTATAGATCTGCAAACTCAAAGCAATATCCAATTGCAATCATGAATTTTATTGTTCCAACCAAGGTGTACGATGTCAATGTAACACCAGACAAAAGAAAAGTCTTTTTCTCTGATGAAGGCTCTCTTTTGAAGTCCTTAAAAGAAGCTTTGTTGGAGATCTATGCCCCACATCTTGCTAGCTTTTCGGTACAGAGACCTAAGGAGCTCACTCAGGGAGGAAACAACTCAAAGCTTTGTTCTCCTCATGGTAAGTCTTTTTCACAATTTTCATTAAAGCAAGCATCGCCAGATGGCACTGATAGCAAACAAGAAGCATACAGTGAGAAGCAACATGTAGAAGTTGACACTGATATGCATAATGTGAAGAGACATTGAGATCCTCACCTGCTGTTAAACTAATAAATCTGGATGATTATAGTTTATCAAAGACAGACTTTACACTTAAATTTCATTGTATGAAGAAAGATGACACCTTTTCTGGGAGCTATAGCTATAGTAGGAAGCATACAGCTATAAGTAACAACACTAGAAATAATTCACAGGCAACATCATACAACTCAACAATGCAGAAAGGAACAGATTCACCTCATTCTGCAGGTGTCGTCCAGTCGCTGCTTACAGCATTTGTGTCTATAAACAAAATAAAGCATGAGAGCATCAGCAACAATACTTTATCTGAGGTCCCTGTTCTTAGAACTGCAAAAACAGATATGGAGGATTTGATTTCAAGATTGAATCAAGAAATAGCAGTTAAAGATTATCTTACAACAAAGGTATGAGTATGAATATGATTTTTTAATTTAAAAATGTATATATATTTATGGAACTTTGATGTTTATATAATAGGTGAAGGATTTGGAGGAGGAGCTTGAAACTACAAAATTGACAAGTAAAGAAAATCTTCATCAAACAATTTTAATGGAAAGAGAAAGAATTACTCAAATGCAGTGGGATATGGAAGAACTTAGAAGGAAATAACTAGAAATGGAGTTTAAATTGAAGTCTCAATCTCAATAGGTTTTATTATTATAATTTTTTTTATTCCATTTTGTTCTTTATTAAACCAAGTTTACAACAATTATTAACAAGTTAAAGATTTTTTAGGATGAAAAGGTGGAAATGGAAGAAAAAGATGAGCTACTTGAGGAATTGGAAGATACCAAAAGTAAACTTGACCAACTGTCAAAGAAACATCAAGAATTAGAAATTAAATCAAAAGCAGATGTGAAAATTCTTGTGAAAGAGGTTAAATCACTTAGGAGCTCACAAGTTGAATTGAAACAACAGCTTAATCAATCACTTATCGGGAAATCAGAGGCAGAGGTAATTTTTTTATTTTTGGAATAGAAGGGTAAAATGGTAATTTTAATGTTTTTCAAATTTGTGGTATAGTGCAACAAGAAAAGGAAAGAATGGAAGTCGGTAGAATGAAGCTGCTCCCGTATCTTTCACTTTTTTCTTCTTCCGATTTGCCTTGTCATCTCCTGCATCATAAATAAATAATTAAAAATGGAATTTTTTAAAATAAAAATATAAAACATAACGAAGTTATTAGCTAATACCATCCATGAGCATTCTGCATAACTCAGCAGCTTCATCTTCATTTTCCACATCAGCTTGAGCTTGTGAAGGCATGCGTCTCATTTTAAGGCCTTTAACACCAGCCACGAAGTTATTAGAATCATAATTATTATTATCCTCTTCATCTTCATCACATTCTTCAGCATCTAGAAGGTTCTCAAGATCCCCTGCAAATGAACCCCTCTGGTGATTAATTACATAAATATAAAAACAAACTGTTAATATCGCTATTATGGGTAATAAAAAAGTAAAGTAAAGAGTAAAATTTCACCTGAAAATCACAGAATAGCTTTTCCTTTGAGAGATAAAACAGTCTCCTCAGCATCTACATGAAGCTTGCTCTCTTTCCATCCCAAGCTTACCAATACAATTTTCATTGACCCTTTTGTAAGCAGCTTTCCTTGTTCTTTAAGTGCCACCAAATTTTCATGAGGATACCATAAAACTTTTGGCCTATGAAAATAGGCTATATCTTTACAACAAATACAGTAAAAGAAAAATGAGTTTACAACAGAGTAAGAGAAAAATGACACTAGAGATTTTGTGGTTACTTGCTAAGTTTAGCTTTCATTTTCAGTAGCTTGAGAGCAGGTATGTAATACAAGAATTTAACACCATGTGATGTGCATTTCTTGGAATGTGATTTCAACTGTTGGGAAGATTTCCTGTTGGAATAGAATTTTTCATTAGCTATATTAAGTCTCCACCCCTCCATAACCATGTAATAGCTCTAATAAATCTGGTGCTGACTCAGCAGACCGAGTTGTGATCATGGCTCCAGCATGAGGCTGAAGATCATCTCCATGTTTGTTATCCAATATTTCAACAAGCATCTGTTCATCTTGAAGATCAAGAAGTAATTTCGGCTTTGTAACAGATTGATTCGGGTCCCACACTATTCGATCCATCAAGAACATCTTTATTGCGTAAAGTGAGTTTGTTGAATCGTTTAATGATGTCACTTTCAACTGTTGTATCTTTATTAGCATCATCTATTTCCAATCGTGATTCTAATCTCAAAAGCTGGGGATGGTATATGGTTTCTTCAGATGAACTATATGATTTTGGAGATTTTCTTCAACCTCTCTCCATCGGAGACCTGAGAATGAAAGAAGGAAAGAAATTACAGTGATTTTGAAAGAAATTTGAATACAAGAAAAACCCTTTTTTATTTTATTTTTTAATAGACAAAAAAGCATATATACACAATTCTCCTTTGCAAGTTCTGGATTGCTTGCAAGATCTCTCACATGCGACAAATTTAGGGTTAATACAAGCGGACTAATTGAGACAAAAAGTTGAACCCAAAACAGTAAACATGTGGATGTGAGTGTGGTGCTGTGTGCGACTGTGAAAAATTATCATAACGAGATTAAGAAGAAGAAATGTAGGGAAGATAGATGTCTCACCTGAGCAATAAAAAAACAAGAATAAGGGAGATGGAATGGAACGTACTTGAGATGCTTAGAGAGTAGAATTGGGGATCAAGGAAAGAGGAGGAAATCATGATTAATATCCGTATCACTTTTCCAGTTAGGGTTTTACAGAGGAGAATATGAGAAGAATCAACATCGAAATCAGAGGTATGAATAAAGGAGAAATAAGAACCTGGATCTTTTCTTTGACATTCTCGATGGTGTCGTTGCTCTCATCAAAATTAAAGAGGGCTAAATACAAAGTTGGAGACAGAGATCGTATGAACTCCAAACTAACAACGGAGGGTATTAAATATATAACATAAAATAGAGGATGGCGGTGGGAGACACTTGGAAGGGTCGAAGAATCAGCAGATGGCAGAAGGTGAATGGAGGTTTGAGAATCGAGAGAGAAGAAAGAAAGAAAGAAAGAAAGGGGGTTTTAGGCGGGGATGAGCTAGGGTTTTCAGCCGGTGGAAACAAAGCGGGTTTTTTATTTTTTGGATTTCATTTCCCCCTCGGATGAAACGCGCGTTTCATTAAAACTTATAAAGCGACATGGTTAGACGACACACATTTTATTTAAGGTGCCCTCCGTGCTTTTTTTTAATAGACACTAATTTCAGGGCATGCAAAAATGCGTGTCTTCTATGCTTCATATTTTGGAAAACTGACATCAATTTTTAAGGCACTCACAGATGCGTGTCTTCTATCAGCGCGTGTCATTGATTGTGCGTCGTTAAAGGCTGTTTCTTCTAGTAGTGATTTGAACAATCATGAGGTGGTTACCTTCGTTTTTACGAAAGAAGGTTGGGTCAACCGAACCCTGTTTAAATTTAGACATATTTAAAAACTTAGTTAAAGTTTCATACCATGCCCTAGGAGCTTGTTTCAGACCATAAACAACCTTATCCAAGATGTAGCAATGATTTGGATGCTTTTCATTTATAAAGCCAGGAGGTTGGTCTACGTACACAGTTTCTTCAAGTTCACCATTCAGAAAGGCACACTTCACATCCATCTGGTAGACCTCAAAGTTTTTGTGTGCGGCATATGCAAGAAAAATTCGAACTGATTCCAGTCTTGCAACTGGAGCGAATGTCTCTTCGTAATCGATTCCTTCTTCCTGGCAATATCCTTTCACCACTAGCCGGGATTTATTCCGGATCACATTGCCCTCCTTGTCCAGTTTGTTTCTGAATACCCATTTGAGACCGACAACTGAGGAATCTTCTGGAGTTGGAATAAGTCTCCAGACCTTATTTCTTTCGAACTCATTGAGTTCGTCTTGCATTGCCTGAACCCAATCAGAATGATCGAGAGCACTATTGACGGTCTTCGGCTCTATTTTGGAGAATAGAGTTGTTTGCTTCGCTTTTAGTTGTGATCGTGTTAGAACCTTTTCTGATGCATCACCCACTATTTGAGAAACTGGGTGATCTCTGGTCCATTTGATGAGAGGAGGATAATTTGGATCATAAAAGGGATCCAACTCAGCATTTACTTCTTTTTCTAACTCTGATTGTAAATCATCATCATAAATCTTATCGGAATACTCCCCCACGACAGATGATGAAACCTGTGGATGTGAACTAAAAAATCCTTCTTCTTTTTGGCTTGCGGGCTGTATCGAACCTTCGGGTGTTGTAGGACTTTCTGTTTCTTCTGGAATTTCGGTTGCTACAGGACTGTCGGGTGTACCCAGACTTTCTATTTCTTCTGGACTTTCAGTTGCTACAAGACTTTCGGGTGTACCCGGACTTTCGGGTGTAACTGGGCTATTGGTTCGTGCCGGTTTTTCGGGTGCTACCGGGCGATCAGGTCGTGCCAGACTTTCTGGTATGTCAAAGAATGGATTCTCCCCCTGGATTTGTGAGTCATCTCGATCTGAAGAGACTTGATTCTCCCCCTCGACTGAAGTGTTGCTTTGAGGAGGTTCGTTTCTAACCGGTTCGTCTTCTGACATTCGTTTGGCTGCATCTTGAACAATCTTCTTAAGGTGATCTACTTTTTTATCTGCAGCTCCAGCTTCAGAATGAATTTCCTTCTCAGGTTCATCAAATAGATCCATGAATTGGTCAAAAATATTGGCGATTGATGTTGTGACCTGACCGGTTTGAAAGAAAATCTCTCCAATTGTCCCTTCGGTAGACTTTAACTTCTTGACATAATTGTCATCAAACGTCACATAATAGGTTTCTTCAATGCATTTAGAGCGCTTATTCAGAACCCTGTATGCCTTTGAAGTAAGAGAGTATCCCAGAAAGATACCTTCATCAGCTTTGACATCGAATTTGTTGCGATACTCTTTTGAATTGAAGATGAAACACCTCGAGCCGAAAACATGGAAGAACTTGACATTCGGTTTCCTGTTATTAAGAATCTCATAGGGAGTAAGAGAGAAACTCTTATTGAGATAAGACCTGTTTTGAGTGTAGCAAGCTGCAGCAATGGCGTCTGCCCAGAAATATAGAGGAAGAGAGGCAAAACTTAGCATGGTTCGGACTGCCTCACACAGGGACCGATTTCGCCTTTCGACAATTCCGTTCTGTTGAGGAGTATAGGGGGATGAGAAATTATGACTCGTGCCTTTGTCTGCTAAGAAATCTTCTAATTCTTTGTTCTTGAATTCTAGTCCATTGTCGCTCCTGATGTTTCGAAAAACTTTTCTCAGTTGCACTTCAACCTGCTTGATAAAGATCTTCAGCTTGGGAGTTGCCTCGGATTTAAGTTTTAGAAAGAACACCCAAATAAACCTTGAGAAGTCATCAACAATAACAAGAATGTATTTGTTACCCCCAATGCTCTCAAATGATGATGGACCACATAAGTCAATGTGAAGCAACTCAAGCGGTTCAACAACTTTTGTATTTATGATTGTTGGGTGACTTTGGCGACTTTGTTTCCCCATTTCACAAGCAGCACATAAATGTTCTCGATCGAACTTGAGCAGTGGAAGACCCCGAACATGATCACTGATGACAAGCTTGTTGATGTCTTTGAAGTTGAGGTGCGAGAGCCTTCGGTGCCACAACCAGCTTTCGTCTGAATGAGCTTTAGACAATAGACATATGGACGGTTTTCCTTTGATTCGTTTGAGATTCAGAGGGAACATTTCACCTTTTCGTTCTGACTTGAGAATCACTTTGTTGGTCCTCTTCTCTATTATTTCTGAACCTTTGTCATCAAATGAAACTTGGAGACCGGTACCTCCCACCAGTTGAGACATACTGATGAGGTTATGCTGCAATCCCTCTACATAAGCCACCTTCCTAATTGTAAAATCCCCATTGGTTATCATCCCATAACCCTTGATCATTCCATAGGAGTTGTTACCAAACTTGACGTTACCCCCGTTTTGAAGGGATCGAAACTCCGTTGGTTCTTCCTTTCTTCCTGTCATGTGACGCGATCAGCCCCTGTCTATGTACCATTCTTCGTCAAACTGCTCGTCACTTATAACCTGCAAGAATTAACCAGATTTAGGAACCCAAAGTTTCTTGGGTCCTTGTGAGCCTTTCACAGAAACAGGAATAGCAAGAGAAGCATCAATAAGATAAGTTCGTTTTATTAAGGTTGTTTTATCTTTCCTCTTAATAGTAAACACTTTGATTTTATTAGGATTAGTTTCAAGTGTTTTGGATTGAGGTTCAGGAGTTTGCACTTTCGCTTGCTTTCTGTCTTCATTTGCTGAGGAAATCTTGCTTTTTCCTTTCGAATCCTTCGTCGATTGAGAGCTTTGTGTAGGACATGATTTATGCTTAGAAGAGGAATGAGAGAGAGAATAATTAGAGGAATAGAATTTAGAATGAGAATCTTTCCTGACTTCTTGTTTGAAAGGATCCTTTTGGATTTGATCATTTGAGGGACCGAAGCTGTACCTTCGGTTGCTATATGCTGATGAACCGAAACTACCTTTTCGGTTGTTGTGAGTCTCTGGATCGAAACTACCTTTTTGGCTGTTGTTGCTATCAGGACCGAACCAATTCATTCAGTCTTGTCCTTTCTGTTTCCCAAAAGTCTTCTTTTGGTTCTTTTGATCAAATCGACCGAAGCTCCTTTTATCTTTATTTTCTTCTCCTTTTGGCTTGGAGATTCTATTAAAGTGAGTGTAGTTAGGATTTTGGGAGCGCCAAAGTTGCTTTCACTCTGAGACATTTTTCTTGTATCTCAGATTCCTCTGGTGCTTCTGATTTTTCACCTGTTTTGGTTTTTTGTGAATATTTGCCTTCTGTTTTAGCTTCTGAACAATAGGTTTACTTTTCATGAAAGAGGTTTCGCTTGTTGAGGAGACGTATTCTACTGTAATCTCTTTTGTTCCGCTGGTACTGGGTATGTCACAGTTGGTAGGTTTATTTAGTGGTTCTGCCACGTATCTACCTTTTGCTTTCCATGATGTTCGCTCCGACAAACCAACTGTTTCATCTGCATTGTCTATCGGTGCTGACCCGAAATATTCCTCACAACCATCTGCATTATCTTCATTCACTAGTGCAGTGAGT